TAAATCATTCAAACAACTCTCCATCCAATCTTGTATTGTCCGCATCTTCTTGAACTGATTTTCTGCGCCCTCTGGAAAGGTTCACAGCTGAGTACGACAAGGCCGGCATGCGTGTGAACGTATTTAAAACGAAAAGCATTCGCTTTCTTCTGCCCGTTGCTGTCTCTAGGTAAACAGAGATGCTGTGGAGCAGGTGGCGAAGTTCAAGTATCTCGGAGTCTGTTTTACTGGTGATGGAAAATTTGAGGATGAGATCGATAGGCAAATTGGAATGGCCAGCGGCGTTCTGTGCGAACAAGATTGAACTGTCATGACTTAAACATAGCTGAGTTTAAAGTCTGAACTCTGTCTCACTCGATCTTCACTTCCGTTGTCACTTAGAGTCTCGAATCGTTGCCCTTGGCTCAAGCCTTTCATCTCGTGTGCAAGCGGCTGAAATGGGTTTTCTGACACATTGGCTTTCTCAGAATTGGTGCACTCACGCATCTTTGCATGGTCCGGAGTGCAGGTATGTAAGGAGCTTTTACGTCCTGCCGTTTCGTCGAAGGCAGACCATCTACAACTTGCAATTTGCCCACTGACCGATCGAAGTCTGGAGAACTGACCCAAGAATGACCTGGCCAGGTACCTCAGAGGACTTTCTTCCAGACTGGAATTATTTTCTGGCGAGGCTGAAATGGGGACACAGGATCAGGATCGATGGGGATGCTGTCTGACGCGGCTTCCTCAATGACTCTAACGGATAAGCGGTCATCTGAACTCACTGTCGGAATGGCGGGATATTAATGGCCAGCTTTACAGTGAAAGTCAAGGCGAATCAAAAGATGCAATTCTTGACTGTGCTGGTGATGAGAAGCCCATCGCACCGATTCGAGGTTTCCGTTTACAGACAGCGCATTCATTGCCAGAGGTATTTACGTCAACCCTTGTGGCCCCCTCCTGTTTTGTTTATTACCCTGGTGAGGAATATGCGTGTATTGAACGGGTAGCATGTTTCCTCTTTAAATGCAGAAGTTCATCACCGACACAGTGAAAAAATGATACTCTAGGAAGAAACTGTAGAGAAATTATACTTTCAGCTTTTTCTCGATAGAGTCGCCCAAAAATAGACCGACATTGTAGCTTATCGCATTTCCAAAGAAAAGTTTTAACAACTGGTCTGCTCGGTGCCCTGGACCATTTTTTTCGTCAAATCAGTTGAATATTTTAGGCACTTTCACTCTTAGTGAAATTAAGATTTACAGTCTATTCTTTCCAATTTAGACCAGCCTCAAAGTTGACTTCAAGATGTCGAAAGGAGCATGCCATCTTTCCTTTTTGAATTTGTTGGGTGTATTACGCTGATGTTTTTGTTGCAAATTAGAGAATCGGAATGTTCAGAATTGTTGGTTTGGTTAAACTTAATTTATAAAATGCAAGCGATAAACGACTTTAAATTGCAGGTTTTGTCTTTATTTGTTTTTGGACGATAATGACTGTGCTTTACAGTGACTGATGAGAAACGACAAATTTCACGCGTATATTTTTAAATATTTCTGCTTCAGCTATCGAAGACTCAGAGGAAGTGGTTGCTTGCAGCTGCAAAATGCGACTACCAGCTGCTAGCAAAGCTGCTCGTCGACGATACAGAGCTAGCTAACTTCCAAGATTTCATGTACGGCTATGCGGCACTACACTGGGCGGCGAAACAAGGTCACCTTCAGGTCATCAAATTGCTGGCGGGTACTTATAAGGCAGACGTTAACTGTTCGGATGTAAGATTTTAACCGTGTTGCGTTATGTAATTCGTTTAACTCGCTTTTATGAATGGAAATGGTTGATCAAAGCTGACGTTTTACACGACCTATTTTTTAGCACGTAAGTTTTACAAAGTGTTTTTTCTCTATCCTGCTTGCCTTATTTCTAGATGGTAACCAGTAACAACTTTGCTTAACCTGATTTCATTGTTTATCGCAGGGTCGTACTCCTTTGCATCTTGCTGCGATGTACCAACACATGGATGCTGTTGATCTGCTGCTGAACGTTTACGGTAGTCAGTCACTTGTTATTTCATGAAGTCACTTTTTTGATCCTGCAGCTGTTCTCGGAAAGCACACATGCATGATTGTATTTGTATAATTCAGCAGGTATTTGTTTGTGGCGTCGCTTAGAAAAACTACCGTTGTAAGAAGGCAGACTTTCTTGCTGCTTAGTGTATTTAACGCAGGGATATTTCTGATAAATGCGGAAATCCTCCAACATGTGCGGGCAAGAATGATTTTTCAGAC